TATATCAGGCAGAGCAGAGAATCAACCATAAACCGAGGCTAGTATACTAGATATGCCTTAGTCAACACTGATCCCTAATATGAAAAATACGTATGAACCCTTGTTTGCGAGGCAAAGCTCTTCCGCCTCAGCCTCCTAACGTCACTGGGAGGCAGCCACCCCTCGTCCTTCAATGGCACCAATGGTAAGAAGGAAGCACAAGGAAGGCCACAGCCAACAAGGATCCTGATCCTTAGACGGGAAAGCTCCGAGTCTGTTTTCTGCTCCCAGCACACCGCGCACACCCCTGTGGCTGCCTCCTGTAACTGCAGCACAGGCCTGGAGGGAGAACCCTCTGCTAAATGCGCCTTCCCCTTTTAGACTCTGAGGCTTCCAAGCCCCCTCCAGTGACCACCGGGGGTGGGGTGGGGTGGGGTGGGGACTCGGATCACCTGGGCTCTTTCCAGCCTACCAATAACACCTGCCGGCGTCCTTGTGTTACTATAGTTTCTGTCACCTGCTGTAGCAGGCAAGTGCCCCTGGACTAACAAATGTCACTGCTGCAGTGGTCTCGATATGCTCTGTCCAGAGGATCCCCAAGCAAGCCAGAATCTGTCAATTAGTTAAGAGGCTGGCCCAACTTCAAAAATACTCATAGCTTTTTTACCTACCACGCAAGACCAGCCCCCCACACAAAGTTGAGTGCTGGACTGAATTGGGTCACCACTGTCCCTGCCCCAGAGGACATTAAATGAGACAGAGGGTGGCCCCCAGGTGATTTAGTGGGGACATTTCATAGCATGTGGAAGCAGCTCACGGTTTCTCATAATGCAAGGATCAAAAAGTGAAGCAGGTGCTTCCCTGCCCCATCCCGGAGCTGGTGACTTTGGCATCGGGTGTAAAGGCCTCTGAGGACAAAGGGATCCTGTGTACCTGGCCAGCCCACAGGTGTGTGGAAAGCAGTCAGGTGGCTCCAGGGAGCGGGCCAATCTGGTTTCTGTAATGTGGACAGGGAAGGGAGCCAGAGGCTCCGTGTGGCACTTTGCTCCTGTGAAGCCTGAAATCAGCTTGCACCGTGACATGCTTTGCACCCCAGCACTGCCTGCTTTGGATCTGCAACCGCCTCTAAAGACCCATGTGCTAAGGCCTGCTCCGGAGAGGGGCACTCTCGGCAGAGTATGGAACCTTTCAGAGGAGGGGCCTAGCAAGAATCTCAGGCCACTGGGGTATACCCTGGAAGAGGACTGAGGGACCCTAGTCTTGCTGTTTTTCTTTTTGTATCTGGCTGTGAGGTGAATGCGCCTCCTCCACCGTGGCTTCCCGCCATAATCAGGCCATTACGTACGTGTTCTCACCACAGGACCTAAGCAAAGGGCCAACTGATCATAAACTGAAACCTCTAAAACCGAGCCAAAACAAACCTTTAGTCTTCGTAGGGTGACTTAACTCAGGCATTTGTTATACCCGAGAAGGAAAAGCCGACTAACACACCGCTCCTCTATTCCTCTCACTCTTGCTCCCTTTGCTCCTCCCACTGGCAAAGAACTCTTACATTTCACTCTGATCCCATGAGGAGGCTGTGGGGCGACAAACGACCTCCAGCCCCGAGGCCCTTGCCTCCCTGCCCTCCCGCCGCCGAGGCTCTCCAATGCCCTGGGGCCCCCCAAGCAAGAGGAAGTTAAATGGAACTGTGCTGCAGCCCGCCCCAGCTCTGGCACTGGGGCTTGTTTCGGACTCACCCCAACTCTTAGGACTGGGTCCCCAGTGACCAGGTCCTCTCCTGGTGTTTAGACCTCTCCATAAAAACTTTCTTGCCCCTCTCTGAATTTTCTGGTCTCCCGGCAACATCTGGCCTATTCTCTGAGAAGCGCCGAGACTCTCAGAGTGAGTCAGTGCCTTGTTCTACTTCTCCTCTCACACGATCGTGTTTTTCAGCCCATCCTACTTGACTCTGAGCCTTGCAGGCTTCCTTAGGGCCTTAACCAGTGTCTTGCCCCACAGTGCTCTTCAGATATTTGTGATTTAAAAAAAAATTTTTTTTATATTTAAAAAACATTTTTGGCACCAGGAATCAACCTCAGGACCTTGCGCTTGTCAGGCAGGTATGGCACCACTGAGCTAAATCCCTGGTAGATGTCTGTGAATTTAAGCGTGAATGGATGTGTGCTGCTCCAGAACATCCTGGCTGTGGCCAGACACAGCTCCCTTAACCCAGACACCCACTCACCGGGGCTGTGCCCTCAGGAGGTGCTGGAGGCAGCTCCCTTGCTGGCCCTGAGCCATGTTGCCCACGGGCCACCGTGTACCCAGTGATTCTCTAGCGGCAAGGACTCAAGTACTACAGTGCCACTACCTGCTGTGTGGTCCTCACCCTAGCTGCCAACCTCTGGTCCCACAGCCACAGGCCCCAGTTATCACATTATGGGTCCCTACCAGCCAGCTTCCTCCTAGCAGACAGACATGAAGTGGTGCAATCTGCACACGGGACACAAAGGAGGCTCACCTGCAAGACAGACTTGGGCTGTTCCTCTGTGACTTCATTCCTCAGCTCTCAGGACTGGGGCTTTCCCTTGTTGCCCTGTGACCAGGTCTTCCCCTGGTACTGTCTTGACCCCCACTTAATCTTTTTTTCCTCTTTCTGTATTTTCCAGTCTTCTGGCAATTTCCAGCCCACCCACTCCCAAAGCGGGCCAGAGCCTTGCTGTGGAAGTTAGCTAGTGAGACGAGTGCCAAGTCTATGCTTGAGCTATGAAGTCAAAGGCCCCAGATCCAGGAGTGGTGGTGCACGTCTATAATCCCAGCACTGGCGAGGCTGAGGCAGGAGGGTTGCCATGAGTTTGGGGGCAGCCTAGGCTACAAGTGAGTTCAAGGCTGCCTGAACTACACAGTGAGGTTCCATCTCAAAAAGAAAAAGAAAGAAAAGGGGAGGGGGCAGCACCTCTTCACTGTCTGACCTTTAGCAAATGGCTTACTCAGGACTTCAGTTTTCTTCACTGCAACTTCAGAATAGCACAGAAATCAAAGGAGATTGTGATGCTTACAGGGGAGATCACAAGACAGGACTTTGCACACAGTTTAGAATCTAGGACATTTCCAGCACACGCTTGCCTCCCTTCATACATTAAGGCCCCTGCCCTCCCTCCTGACCAGAACATAGACCACTTCAAACAAATGAGCTAGAAGAAGACTATTCAGCCTTATTTTGGGGAGACTTCTCACTCCCACAATGTCTGCTGACCTCTATCATTAGTAATAGAACTTCCAAGTTTTCAAGTGTGCATGGATGACTGAAAGCAAACTCCATTTTCTGGCCCTCCTCGAAGATGGGTACTACCAGGCACCCAGGATGTGGCCAGGGGTGGACGTGGCTAAGTGCTCCTGTGACTTCTGGGAGGGGCCATGCTCATCTTCCTCCTTGCCATCTTTCTGAAGGGTGGAACAATGGAGCCCCCCCAAAAAAATGGCCATTTCAGTGGTAGGGGTTGTGGAACAAAAAGGTACCTGGGCCCTTGACTTCTGGGGACCATGATGGAGTGGATCCTGTCATGGACCTCATCTGCGTGCGAGAGATATTGCCTCATGTCTTGCTTAAGCATCTGTTGCTTCGAGTGTTCTTTACCCTCTAGACAAAGCTCATATTGACTAATTTCAGTCTATCTGTTTGACCACGGTTCCTCTCTGGATAATAACCCAAAGTTTACTGTAGGCCTTCAGGAAGCTGCCAGACTTCAGCTGAAGAGCCTGCCCCTATGGCATCTTTGAAACCAGAAGTACAGGCTTATAAGGGCTGCAACTTTCAGGGGGCTACTGACCATCTTGATTCTGAAGGGTCAGTTAGCTCCACAGGGAAGGGAAGGAAGCGAGTTCACTCTGATCTACTAGATGGCAGCTGCTCTTCCACACAAGAGGTATTCACACACGCTCTTATTCAAGAGCACACACATTGGTTCAACTGACTGGAGTCAGTGAGGGACAGAAGGAGCTTGATAAAATGTTAAGGACCCGCATCTTGTTAATGTGATCTGCTGACAATCTGAGAAAGCAACTTACTGTTTTTTTATTGCATCTGGCTGTGAATCTGGGCTCTCACCGAATCAAACAGAGGAGTAAATCAAACAGAGGAGTCAGAGAAGACCTAGAACGGTGTCACTCAAAGGCTTTGGCCCACAGAGTAGCCACCAGGCGGGCGTTATTTCTTACCAGTCTGCGATGAGATGAGGAGCTGGTGGCAGATCGCAGATCAACTGCACCACTGACTTTTTCAGTTGTTTGTTTTTCATGGTGAGAGAAGCAATACAGAGATACATATTCTGGGCATAAGTTCCTTATGTGGTTTCAGAAAGCACTTAGAACTACACTGCTCTAGAATATGGTTGCCCTACTACAAAGGATTTATTCTCTGTCTGTCTGTCTGTCTGTCTCTCCCCTCCCCACTTGGTCCTATCCAAATGAAGTAAATCAGTGACACAGTACACAGATCTGTACTGTAACAAAGCACTAAGGCTCTCCTTACAGGGAGGAACAGGCCTGGTGTTTGGATATGACAGGAGCTTTCGTGGAGGATACAGAATTATCTTTTCAAACCTGAAGCACTGTGAACTTCTCTATCCATTTAAACTTACACTGGACCTACTGGGTACAACAGTCTTTTAAATTTTTCCTGGGATCTTTATCAGGTACTGATTTGATAGGAGTTGGCAAAGTACCTTGAATAAATTTAAACATGGAGAATTTAAACATGGAGATAATATTCTCTCTGCCTCGGTTCATACTGTGGTTTTTTTCCTGAAACTTTCAATCCTTATTTAATTTGTTATCTTATGAAGCACAAACGCAGCTTTCTCAATGCCCATATAAAAGCGGGGTAAGAACTCTAGTTTTCCCCCATGACAGAGCTCCTGGTGTTATCAATTTGGCATCCCTGGTCAGGGGAGCCTTGGTGCCCAGACATGGGCAAGTGGTTCCAAAACGGTCACATCCATGTGACTGCAGGGGTGGCGCCCATACCCACTGTCCCTTACCAGCAGTCCCCAGGCTCAGCAGCACAGCCACCCAGAGGACCCAGAAGAAAATGAGGATGGCAAACGTCCACACTGGCTGGAGCAGCAGGAAAGGAGAGCTGCTGATGGCTTTGTTTGTAACTTGGAAGACTGCAACTGTCAATTTTATTTTCTTTCTGAGGACAAAAATCAAGACGAGCAGAATTGCCTGGTGAAAAAGGGGTTAAGAGTAAATTATTTCAAATAGAGAGCTACTCACTGTTTTTGTAGTAACTACACTGAAAATCTCCCAAGCACGGATTGAGCACCTGCTGTGTGCTGATCTTTATTCTAGACTGTGCAGTTGTAACAGTGAACTTAAAGGAGCTAGCAGACTTGGCTTGTCAAAGAGCAAGACAAAATGAGAACAAGGAACTCTCTTCTGTATCCCCCACTCATCCTACACCAAGGAGCCAAGATGCTCAGAGAAGGGCTGCAAAGAGGCAAGGAAATATGAGTTCAAAGGAGGAGAACAGCGATGTCTCAGCCTTCTGTGCCTTCTTTTCTCTGGCTTTTCCCTTCCTGCATATAAATGTTTACCAGACTCTCATTTTAAGGAAACCACCATCCCTCACCACCCCCATCCCTCATGCCACTGCCTTCACTGTCATTTGCTTCACAGTCCAGTTCCTCAGCCTGTCTCCACTCACCACCCACATTTCATACCCCAGCTTCTTCTTGAACCACCTGCAAACCTCCAGACTGCAACAACTCTGAAACCGCCTTCTCTGAGATCACTTCACCTAAGCTCCTGTTAAATTCCACAGATCCTTGCAAATCTTGTCTGACCACAGCGTGGCATTTGAACCTATTGTTCACTTCTCTTTCACCTCCCTCGGTTTCTATGATCTTTCTCTCTCTCTCTCTCCTGGCTCTTCTACTGCGTGTATGAGGGTGGGGGGAGACACTGGGGACTGAACCTTCACACTAGACTACATCCTCAGCCCTTTTTATTTTGAGACTGGGTCTGGCTAAGTTGCCCTGGATGGGTTTGAGTTGGTGGTTCTCCTGCCTCAGTCTCTGAGTCCTGGGATTATAGGTGTGCATCCCCAGGCCTGGCTTCTCTTTTTCAGTTACTGCTTTTGGGGATGTTTTAGGGGTGTCTCCTATTCCTTTGTAGCTGTAGCGTTCTTTCCAGGCACGTACAAAAATCAAATCAAAACCCTATCCTCTCCTTTCTCTAGATGGTGGAAGAATAAGCCCATATCAGCTACTGACAAGGCTGCATATCCCCATAGCATCTCAAACACAAATTGTCTTGGACCAAAGTAATTATCTTCATAGTAAATCTCCTCTTGTTCTCTACCTCTAGTGGTCCTAATTCTTATTGACTCTCCTAGTTAGGGTCCTCTCTTGTGTGCTTCTATTCTGTCCTTTACTTTATTGCAGTAGTCAATATACTCCCCTGCAAATGTTTACTTGTCTAAATTTCTCCTTACACTGAACCCCTTCAGGTCAGGGCTATGCCTTACTGCCAAGGGCTGGCACAGTGCCTGGCACACAGTACAATGCCGGTCACCTCTGACTGGTGTGATAAATACCTCATCAGTTATAGCTTCCATCTAGATGTCCCCCCAAAGCCTCATGCGGTCATAGGTGGGGCTTTTCCAAGGGTGTGTGATACTGGGATTGAGGATGTAATGCTGGAATTGAGTCACTGTGTGAGGCTAGGATTCAGGCTGCCCCACCTTGGGTGTGGATGCTGTCTACCCTAAGGAATGGGTAGACTGGATAGGATGTAAGGGGCAGAAAGGGGGTTGCTGCTTGTCCTTTGCTGCTTGCTTTCTTCTACTTTGCTGCTTTACTATTTTCCTACCTTCTGCCCTCCACGAACTGCTTCTCCTCTGCAATGCCCTGCCATGCCACCCTGGCTTGGAGCCAGCCAACTATGAACTGAAACCTCTACAAACTGTGAGCTTAATAAATATTCCCTCCCTTAACTTGTGGGTATTGGTTATTTTGTCTCAGCAACAAGGAAAGTAACTTAGACACCATCCATTTTCTCCTCTCCATCCTTACCACCGATGCAACAGCTCCAGTCTCATCCTTTCTCATCCAAACCCTCAAAACCTCCTTAGCTTTCTGCATTCAATCCCCTGGTCCATCCTACCTCAGTCCCTCTTCCACTCCACAGCTAAAGAGATCTCTGTGAAGGGTAAAGCCAACAATGTCATCTTCTTACTGAAAATCCATCAGTGCCTCCCCAGGCCCTCTGGATGAAGATCAAAGTCATTATTACTGCCAATCAGTCCTTACTGACACGACACCTCCCTGTATCTGTCTCAGACTTTCATCAAAGAAACCTCCCGCAGATGGCTCCCCTGCCCATAGGACCCGGTGCATTCTGTGCCCTTGCCTGAGTTCCTCTTTTTTTTCCAGCTGAGCCTGAGTGCTCCTATCCTCAAGGATCTTACAGGAAAGGTGGTGAGAGGATGGTGGACAAACTATGCAGATGCTGCTCCAGGATTTGAGAGCAGCAGCATCTGACCTTGCTGCAGAGCTCAGGGGAGGCCAAGAGAGACACCCAGGGTTTTAAGTTGCGAGGCTGAGAGGGAGCTACCACCTCTGTGTTCTCCATGCCTAACAAATCAACAAAGAAGAGGAACTTTTAAAAAATATAAAATGTTGAAGAAGCAAAGTGAGAATAATCATTAGGCAGATGCATTTAGCGTCTGGATCCTAAATGGAATACAAAATATGTGCACATTTAAATATACATGTGTTTTACCATATGAATTAGATACATGCATGCAACAAGGTATGCTGGGAAAACATTCTGTAGAAGTGATGGGTTACTCCCATCTGTTACACCCTTCAGTCTGGACAGAGATTGGCCTTGCCTATTTGGGTCTGGGGCTAGGGCTGTGGGTGGGCTGAGAAGGTGGCAGACTGATCTGCCACACAGAGGCCAAGACTTGACCTCACTCACCTGGGTTCTAAGCTGTAGGTGCATTTCCACCAATCCTCCTAGACTGCTGCTTGAGGTGAGCATTCAATGCTTTTGCCGCCCCATTTTCTTCATTGCTGTTTGTGCTTATACTGAAATTGGCCCCGATCGTCCCAGACTGATGTGCTCAAGTTTATTTGTAAGGCAGCTGCTGCTGGGAACTCAGAAGAAGGAATACACCCACACCTCAGAGGGGCTGGACAAGGATCTCTCCGGGACCCCGGCCATCCATGAGGCATCTCAGTCACTTCTCTGAGGGTGGAGGAAGGGAGGAGGTGATGGGGTGACCCTCTCCTGTTCTTCTCCTGCTAGCTTGGTTTCCCCTTGCTTCATCTCCTCTAGATAGCCAGAGTTGGAGAGTGGGAGTAGGAGAAGGGCAGAGGGGCTGCTGACCAGTGGTGGCCTGGGAGTGGTGCTGCACTGGGAGACAGGACTCGGTTTTCTCTATCCCCCTGATGGGGTGAATGGGAGCAGAGACTGGGCTGGCTAGCGAAGTACGAACAAGGCAGGCAGTGGTTTCCCTGGGCATGGCCATCCTCTTGCTCCACAGCCAGGCCAGCTTCTCTGAGAAGGCAAAGGCCGGGCTCTGTCCCTGAGCACCACATCATGATGCTGCTTGCCAGCCCTGTGCCACATCACCGGAATGCGTGGGCTCTGTGTTTTGTGTCTTAGTGCCCAGCCCTGTGCATATTAGAAGCTGCATGTAAATGGCAGAGATCATAAACGATCTGGGTTTTTATGAAGGTAAGCGTAAAAACTGGCTCATCAAGCCATGGGCACTTGGGAGGAACTCGTGACCTATTGGCTGTGCTTTGGTTCTGCCCATATTACCAGCCACGGGGACATTCTCACGGGCATGAATGAGAATGGCTCCTCTCTCCTCTCATAGCCTCCCTTTTCTTTTCTTTCTTTTTTTTTTGGTATGGGGCATTGAACTCAGGATCGAACTTGGGACCATGTGCTTGTAAGGCAGGCAGCGGAACCACTGAGCTAAACCCCGAGCCCCATTACAGCCTCCCTTTCCCACACTTCTCACTGAGTGGGGAGAATTTACCTCAGACTTACAATCGAATGGCCATGAATAGCTTAGTGTGTGGAGATAAAGGGAGTCTATGGAGACTAAGGGAGGAACCCACTGTCTCCTTAGCTCTCAGCCCCCTGCCTCTGCCCCAGTGCTCCAGGCCTGGGGTGAAGAGGAGCCCTTTCTTCTCTAGCCTCCTGCACAATTCCTGCTCAGCTATGAGCCTGGTCCCTGGCCTTATTGCCACCTGCTCCCTGACATATTTTATGTGAAGAACCTAAACATGAAAACTTAATGTTGAAAGGAGAAAAGCACAAAGGTTGTGCCTAGGACCGGAAGGGTTTCCTTAGAAGAGAAGATTGAGCTGGTGAGAGAATCTGTGTTTGCTGAAGGGTTTAATGGGCTTGTAGCAATCTCTGGCTGCTTCGTAGAATAGTCAGTAAGCAACACGCTAGCATAGGACCAAAAGTTGTGAAATCAACTCCGAATCTTGCTACCTGGAGAGTGACCTGAATGACTTTTGGGTGACAACCAACCTCCCTCAACAATCAGGATCTGCAGCCTCAATGTTCTAAGTTTGCCTGTTTTCAACTACAGAGTTCACTGAGGAGGCAGCAGGTTCCTTGGAAACCAAAATAACCAATAGGCCAGCAGGTTGGAAACAAAGGGCTCTGTGTACTCAAGGGCAGAGGGAGCTGTCACGCCCTGGGGAGAGCAGAGCATTCATTGGCTGGAAAGGATGGCTCTTCTCACACACAGGAAATGGCAACCCTCATAAACCAATCCCCCTCCCACCTTGCTACATCCACTTTATAGCCCAACAGCAAGGATAACAGAGCAGTCTCTAGGAGACGGCAGAAATGACTCAGAAAGAACTAAAACTTTTTTCCTTATTCTCTGAAGGTTTTGATGTATTCCTATACAAGTATCTCAAATCCTAGGAAGGCACTGAATCAAGCAGGCATATTCTGAAGTGGAAAAAAAAAACCAACGAAATAAAACAGATGCTAGCTGGGTTTTTTTTTTGGTTTTTTTTGCGGAACTCAATGATTAGGATTTCAGACTCTAGCTGGCTAGTCAACTCACTGCTGGAAGGGTATTTCTTACCGTGATGATCGTAGACACAACAGCAAACCCCAGCACACACTTCATATTTTCCCTTTCTGTGTCCAGTTCTATGCTGAGGTCAGTGGTATAGTCATAATACAGCCACCATAGGACACCACAGACAACTAGAAGACAAAACACCAGCAGGGCTTATACACAACCCGAGATAACTACCCCCACTCTGGCATGCACAACCTCACACAGAAGTCTAGCTCCTGCTGGCAGGCCCAGCTGCCCTGCTTGGGTGATAGGTTCCAAACTCCCAGGGATTTTAGAGCCGATGCTGCCCTCTGCAAGAGGACCATGCAGAGGACCTGCCAGTCCCAGGATGCTGCTGGTCTTTGGGTCACCCAGGAAGGTGACCCGAGAACAAAGGTGCCTACCTCACAGGTTGGGTCTGGGTGGGAGCAGGAAGGAAACTGCACCCAATGGTGGGAGAAACAACATTGGAGTCCAAAGCCTAAAATCTTCATACAAACTCTGCTGACGGCAAATCCAGTGGGTGCCTGAATATTGACTTTCGCCCACAAAGTAGGTGGGTTCACATGACCTGTGGGAATCATGTAAATCAGAGGCTCATTCTGAGGATGCTCTCACGTTGCAAACACTGTTCCCTTAAGTAGAAAATGCTGCCTTGTGTCATTTCCATAGTATCTCTAAGGAGGTCACTGTCATCTGCTAATTGTAGATGGTGAAAGCATCCTTTTCGTGTCACAGTGCCTATTCCCAACACGGGGTTCCAGGGCTCTGCACTGCTGAGGGCAGAGCTGAGTATTCAGAGGAATGAAACACTACAACTATATGAGTCATTAAAAAACTGAAATACTCTACGCCAACTGGTAAATAGCTGCAGCTTTGGGCTTCACGCAGGGCCCTGTTCCTGGGATCCTCTTTCCAACAATCCTTGGGGAGGCCCACGATCTGCTCCTGCTGGCAGGCCCAGCTGCCCTGCTTGGGTGATAGGTTCCAAACTCCCAGGGATTTTAGAGCCGATGCTGCCCTCTGCAAGAGGACCATGCAGAGGACCTGCCAGTCCCAGGATGCTGCTGGTCTTTGGGTCACCCAGGAAGGTGACCCGAGAACAAAGGTGCCTACCTCACAGGTTGGGTCTGGGTGGGAGCAGGAAGGAAACTGCACCCAATGGTGGGAGAAACAACATTGGAGTCCAAAGCCTAAAATCTTCATACAAACTCTGCTGACGACAAATCCAGTGGGTGCCTGAATATTGACTTTCGCCCACAAAGCTAGGTGGGTTCACATGACCTGTGGGAATCACGTAAATCAGAGGCTCATTCTGAGGATGCTCTCACATTGCAAACACTGTTCCCTTAAGTAGAAAATGCTGCCTTGTGTCATTTCCATAGTATCTCTAAGGAGGTCACTGTCATCTGCTAATTGTAGATGGTGAAAGCATCCTTTTCGTGTCACAGTGCCTATTCCCAACACGGGGTTCCAGGGCTCTGCACTGCTGAGGGCAGAGCTGAGTATTCAGAGGAATGAAACACTACAACTATATGAGTCATTAAAAAACTGAAATACTCTACGCCATGGTAAATAGTTAGCTGCAGCTTTGGGCTTCAGGCAGGGCCCTGTTCCTGGGATCCTCTTCACAACAATCCTTGGGGAGGCCCACGATGCATCAATGGACAGGGAAACAACTGACCACACAAGGCTCCCAGGACTCTGTGTGTGCTCCAGCCTGCTCTTCAGACTGGCCAGAACCTTTGCATGACAACTGTGGCACCCACACACTCAGGGGTGAGTGCAGGTTCAGAAGAAATCCTTCAAAATGCTCTCACTGGGCACCAGAAATCTTTCTTAAAGCTATGGAACAGGACTACACAATTAGCAGGCTGCATAATATAGTAGAACCAGCAACAAATTTGGTGTTAACTTTACCATTATCAGTGGACATAAGCAATTTCCATGTCCTCCCTGGGCTGGACTTTTCTCACATTAAATTATGGGGCTAGATACACTCTAAGATTCATTGTAGCTCAAAGATGCCAACTTCTAAACTCGACACAATGAAAAGTCTTTTCATTTAACAAAAAAGAAATCAATCAAGCAGAAATACTTACACAACAATCCCAAAATGACCAATGAAATGATAATGTGAACCAGAAGAGTGGTGATGAATCGGAAGGCGAACATCATGGCCAAAGACAAGGCTGAAAAATGAAGTAAATCTCATGAACCCCAAGAGCAACAAAGGGTGAGAGGGATGATGGTGACCAGTACCCCCACCCCAGGAAAATGAGGGATGCATGAAATGAAATGAGGGATGCCAATGAAAATGGCAAGATCCTCCCCCAAGGCATCCTCTGAAGCATAAACTTAGGCAGCTACAGTAAGCCACTCTCTGAAAGTTCTCTTGAATTAAAAAAAATTAAAAAGAAGGTATTTTATCACCAAATACTCAAATCTTTTTTTTCCCCTTAAAAGTCCAAATGAACTGTTTAAAATTTTTACCATACTAAGTCTTTCGTCCTGACAGTGGACTTACGTAAGTTCTAACTTTAGATGTTCTTAGATACTTTTATTAACTCTAAAAGACTAAATGCCTTTGACATGAAAATTTTAAGATTCTAATTATAAAGTAAGCTGTATATGCAAAATACTGCATTTTCATTTCCTAATATATGGGCTTTCGGGCTTACACATTTTTTTTTTTTTTTTTGGTACCGGGGATCGAACTCGGGTCCTTGAGCTTGCAAGGCAGGCCACTGAACTGCTGAGCTAAATCCCCGGCCAGGCTTATACATTTTAAAAAATACTTCAGTAATATATAAATAATATTCTATTTTTCTCTAAACAAAAAATCAGGACTGCAGCTAGACATTTCAAGGTAGTAGTTAATAACATGTGTTTGGAATCATATATATCTAGGTTTAAGTAAGCTCTATCATGCTTTTTACTAGCTGGGCAACCCTGGCCAACTTGCTTAGGTCTCTAAGCCTCAGTTTCCTCTTCAAGAGTGGGGCAGGGATCTGATGAGGTTTTAAAGAGTTAAGAATAAGCACAATGCCTGGAACAAGATAAGTGCTAAGCAAATGATAATTTATGAATCTGAATCTAACACATGCAATCCTTGTGGGGAATTAGGACATCATATGTGACACCGGGACTAACCTGGAGTTTTTGTCATCTGTGGCTACCAGGCTAATATCTAGTATCACATCATCCTATTTGGGTCATTCAAAGTCATACTCAGCCAAAATAAAAAGTCTGAAAGTGACATGACAGTGGCTAGTTCAGTGTCCCCCAGTGTTCAGAAATGAATAATCTTTTAGTAATGACATTAAGAAATTGAAATTGTAAACTGGCAGAAATATGTTAATGGATAGCTAAAGAGAATCTTTCAAGCCAGAGGTTTGGGGTCTACCCCTGGGAAGGGGCTGCACACTGGGCTATTACGATTCTCTAACATAGCAGAGTACACTAACCTGTTTAAGAGAAAGTTGACTCCGCTTGGCTCAGCAAAGCAAAACACAGAAAATGTGAAACCAAAGGTCAAGCACGGGTAGCTGCCTCCACAGATGCCTGGAGGACACGCGTCTTTGTCCAAAGCCCTTACCTGCCTACAATCCCAAAGCAGATATGTTTCTTTGGAGGAGCTGGACACATTAAGCATTGCGGTTTGACCCCACTTAACACAGACACACACTCCTTCCCTTTCTCTAATTTGAATCACTCACATGTAGAAGGCATATAGTCCAACAGACATGGTTTCTGGCCTCCCTGATGGCTGTATTCTTTGTGGCCCATTCATAACCTGGCAATCTGCACTACCTACCCATCCTTTATGCAGAGCTGAGGACCAGACACAGACGTGGTCGGTCTCTTAAAGCTACCCCACCCGGTGAGGCTTTCTGGCAGATAGCCTGCTGGTGTTCTCCCATTCTTACTTTCCCTTCTTCTACTTGCACCTAAAACACCAAAACTGTCTAGAAAGGAAATAAACACGAAGTTTTATATTTTAAATCAAGAAGCCCATTTTCACTGTAATGCATGCAGAAGTGCTAGAAACTACGGCATTCCAGAAATAGTTATTAAAATAAATGGGAAATTACCTAATGCAAGGATACACAGGCCAAGGATGGTGTCTCTTCCTGACATAATTCCACTTAGAATTTGATGGAGCACATCAGCGTCATTTATCAAAGCAGATGCAAACATAGAGTAGCACTCAGGCGTCTGAGGGACACACCGGTTAAACAAGGGAAAAGACTTGCTAAAAAAAAAGAGAAAAGAATTGATAGCAAAATATTTATTTGTCTTTTAAAATGATATATATTTAAGATTCTCCATAGCCAAGAAAACAAGACCAGTAGTAATAAAAGGAGTTAAGCAAAACGATTGCAAGTACACCTTAGAAAGGGAGGTGATCGTGCTCTACTAATAGTGATTGGTTGCTGCTCTGGAAGAAAATATTTATGGAGCCCACAGAGGGGTTCCTGTTATGGAGCTCAGAAGAAAACATTTTAAAATAAAAATTTAACATGTACAATGTGATATTTTAATATAAATATACATCGTGACATGATTGCTATAGTCAGCTAATGGACATATCCATTACCTCCCATAGTTAGCATTTTTAAAAGAATGAGAATACTTAAGATTTATTCTTTCAGAGCAAACTTCAAACATACAAGGCGATATTACTAACTACAGTCACCATGTTAGACATGGTATTTTTAGAACTTGTTTGTCCTCCTTTACCGAAATTTGTACCTTTGGATCAACATCTCCCATTTTCCCTCTCCCCTGACCCTGGTCACCACTATTCTACGCTTTGTTTCTACAGATTTGACTTCTTTAGATTCCAGATATAAGTGAGATTATATAGTGTTAATCTAATTTATTACACTTAACATAAAGTCCTCCAGGTTCATCCATGTTTTTTTATGGGGAGCAACATTTTTGAATTTCTTGTCTTGGTCCTTCCTAGACAAACTACCAACTCCAACACAAGCACAGCATTTCTTTAAGGAACTGTTTGGGACAGGAAATGGATCAGCCAGAAGCTGCATTAGTGACAGTTCGAGCTTTGTTCTATCTTCCTTAGGAAGGTGTACAAGGCTTGAAAATCCTGCTATATACAGAGTGAGTGCTTCATGAGTAAGTAATAAATGTATGATTGACATTTGAATAAATATGAAAGGTAACTTTTGGGGGGCCCTTTCCTGAAATGTAAAATGATCAGGAATATATATCTTAAATTTTTTGAATGAGGCCAAAAATATCTTCACAAAGTCCTTATCTTCTTTCTTTCCTTAGGCCTCAAATAGTGGAAATAATCTTAAACCAAGAAGTGCCAAATTATCTAGCAACCTGTTAAAACCTTATGTAGGTAGTCATCATTTGTGAAATGTGTGAAGATGAAACAAGGAAGAATCCAAGTCCAAGCAATATCAGGTTGCCTTGCAGAAAGAAAATGATTTCTAAAACGCCAAAGAAGCGCAATATGGATCATGTGCAAGAAACTTCCCTAGGAGATGACAATATTACAGAAATAGCTCCTGAGTTACTAAATAGTGATTTCAGAAAATAACTCAACAAAAAATCAAATTCAAACTAAATTTTTGAAGGGAAAAACATTCACATGGCTCAAATTCCAAAAGCTGCAAGAATAAACCTTGAGAAATTGTTCTGCCTTGTTGCTAAAACGTATTTTCTCATAAGTAACCAGTTTTCAGTGCCTTGTATATCAGTCTAGAGTCATTTTTATAAACATAATAGAAAACTCAAATGGAAGTTTACACATGAACTCAAAGATAACAAAAATTAAAATATAAAAATAAGATGCCAGAATGCATCACGTAGAGGTCACCACTAAAGGAGAAGGGGGAATACAGCTTAGCTTTTTGTTTTTTAAGCCCAATACTTAACATTGTAAAAAAAATGAACTTTTAACTTTAGGATAATTCTAGAGTAACAAAAAGCTACAAAGATGAAACAGTTCTTGGGTACCTTCACTTACTCTCCCCTAGACTAACATCTTACATAACCACAGTGCATTTGTGAATATAAAGATGTAACCTTGGTACTGTGCTATAACTAAACTACAGCCTTCATTTGGACTGCATCTTTCCCACGGTTTCTTTTTACTGTATCCAAGTCAGGATACCACATTGTATAAGTTGTCATATCTCTTTTTCGGTTTGTAATAATTTATTGTTTTTTCTTTGTTCTTATGACCCTGGGATTTCCCCAGGTTCGTAATCAGACATTGTGTAAAATGTGCCTCAATTTGTAGAATTTCCCTCATGTTTTCTCATGACCAACCGCAGTAATAGGTTTTTGGGAAGATCACCATGTACAAGAAATGCGCTTTTCTTAGAGTCCTACCAGGGAACAGAAGCAGCATCATAACATCACTGCTGAACTAACCTTGTTGACTCAGATAAGGTGGTATGGTCACATTTCTCCACTGTAGAGTTACCATTTTCTCTTCCTACACTGTATTTGGAAGTGAATCACCATGTCTCACCACTCTCAAGGGGAGAGAGATTAGGTTCCACTTCCTGGATGGAGAAGTATTTACATTATCTGGGATTCTTTTGTAAAGATTTTTTTCATTTCCTCCATTTATTTATTTATCCAATCATTTGAGATAAGGTCAATGCCCACTGCAAGCCACTGTAACTGCCCTTAGACCACAGAGCCATAGTATCTTCCTTAAAATATGTTTTGCTAGACATAGCTTCTAGGTAATAGACAGCACTTTTGATAATTTTTATATAATATATTTCTATACAACATTTTTCAATAATTTGTTTCTGAAACTCGGGTTCTTTTTTTTTTTCATACGTTTGCAAGCAAATAACGAGCCACTGCTTAAAATTAAGTATTCAGAGTACTTTAAAAAGAAATAAGCTGTGCCTTCATAAATAGATGATTACCTCCTATTAAACCTCCCTGTTTTCTAGGAAAATATCTTTTTGATAATGTTTTTATGCTGAGGGTAAAGAACTGGGAAGTAAAACTTTCAAATACATTGTGAATAAATACTGTAACTTCTGCAGGAGCTTTAGTGAATATCTCCCATTTCCATCATACGATCCATGTTCTAGTCCTTCTCAAAATAGCCTATGAAATTCTAATACTTCTTTATACCAGTATGGACTCATGGATATTTTTCTATTCTTTGGGTTATAATCTGATTTGATCATTAATTGGCCACTGTGTCTTTCTGACACACCCATCATTTTTTTCCTCAACACTTCCTTGCTTTCTGGGTCTACAAGGTGACACCAAACTTTGCTTGTGTTTTCCTCATCAAAGTCCTAGAACCTGCCATTTCTTCAGAGAGGTTCTGGTGAGCAATTAGAAACCAAGATTGAGGCATCAGTAAATCATTCCTTTTATTTGCTGAGTATTATTCTATTGTGGACATATGCTTTGATTTGTTTTCTGTTCTCTTGTTGATGGCTATTTGAGTTATTCAGTTTGGTATTATGAGAAATAAAGCTTCTATAAACATTCATATAAATGTCTTATAAATTAGGGATGTACTTCCAGGGTTTTGCTCAGTGGCACCGTGCCTGTCTCACAAACACAGTATCCTGAGTTTGATCCCTGGTACCCAAATACATAAAATAAATAAATAAATTAGAGATGTACCTTTTCATTTCTCTTGAGTAAATGCCTAAAAGTAGAACTACTGGGCCAGATGGTATACGTTTAACTTTATGAGAAACTACTAAACTGGCACAGTGACACACAGTGGTAATCCAAGCTATTCAGGAGGACTACAAGTTTGAGACCAGCTTGGGCAACTTACTGAGATCCTGTTTCAAAACAAAATTTAAGAAACTTCTGAGGACATAGTTTGGTGATTCTTCAGTTCAATCCCCAGTATGGGGTGGGTGGAGACAGACACACACACACACACACACACACACACAGAAAAAGAAACTATCAAACTGCCCAAACGATTCACACTCTTACTCAAAATATATATCTAGTTTCATGTCTATACCAGTTCTTGGTATGGTTAATTTAAAAAATGTTAACCCTTTTAGTAAGTATGTTATCTCATTGTGGTAACTGTTCAAATCTTTTGTCTATTTTATTGGGCAGTTTGGCCTTCTGTTACTGATTTAAGGTAGGAGACAGCCAAATTCTGGCTTACTGCCTGTTTTTGTACGTAAAGTTTTATTGGCACATAAAGCTTTTACTTTACATTGCAATAGATGAGTAGTTGCAACAGGGCCTAAATATTTACTGTCTGACCTTTTAGAGAAAAATATTGCAGACTCTGACTTAAAGAAATTCTTTTTATATTCTGACATCATTTGACACATACATGTGTTGCAATTATTTTCTCCCAGTTTGTGGCACCCCCTCGCTTTATTAATGATGTCTTATGAGTGGAAGTTTCTAATTTTGATTAAGTCCAATGTATCATTTGTTCTTTTATTTATAGTGCTTTTATTTCCTTTCAAAGGAATCTTTATCTACTTTGAGACAGCAAAGATATTATTGTATGTTTTCTCCTAAAAGCTTTATCGTTTTCACTCTTATCTTTTTGGTCTAAGATCACAAGTTAATTTATTGTGTGTGGTACGAAGCCAAAAGTCCGGATTCATTTCCTCTATTCCCTCCACTTGTTTCAGCACCATTTGCTGAAAAGACTTTTTTTCCCATGAAACTGACTTGATATTTCATTAAAAACAGTTGTGATCTATAGCTCCATCTCAGTGCACTCTATTTAGCTCCCCTTATATACCTGTCTATCCTTGTTCCAAACCTGTCTTCATCACTCTAACTATATAACTTGAAATAAGCCCTCTAACTTAGTTCTTCTAGATTTTTCTTGTGATCCTAGCTTTTTAAATATATATATATTTTTTTACTAAACTTAGCAATTTCTACAAAAATATGCTGGGGAGATGGTTCTGAATGCATAGAACAGTTTGGGGAGAGGTGACACCCTAACAGTATGAACATTCACTCCATAAATAAGGTGTATTTCTTCACCTACATGTTCTTAATCTTTCTCAGCAAGGCCTTAAAGTTTTTAGGTGAGTTCTTAGATGTTGTGTGTCAACTTTATCCCTAGGTAGTCTATGATTCTGTGGAAGACGACTTAAAAAGTTATTTCCTAATTGCTGCTAGTGTAGAAAAATATAATTTGACCTGAGTCACGCAGCTCTGCTCAATTTGCTTAGCAGTTATTTTGTAGATTTCTTTGGCTATTTCCATGTAAGCAGTCATTCATCTGTAAAT